AAACTTACTGTGACTGTATCAGCTCTGGGTAATTGGGATGGCAGTGATACGCTAAACTCCTAAGCAGAAATTCCTGAAGTCACTGGGCCAGAGGCTACAATTGTTCACCTTTGCTGAGAGCCTGAAATCTGAGTGAGCTAGCCTCCTTCTCTCCTGTAGCAACACTGATTCTAGCTCCAACACCATTGCAAGTCTGGTCTCTGAGTGTGGACTCTAGACAACAAGACTCAGACTACCAGGTAGAAGGTACAGGAAAGAAGAAAGCAACTCCAAACTGTTAGCATGTGTATGGACAAGATCCTGAGTAATTGAAGGGATTTTCCCACCAGACAAAGGCTGTAGGGTCATATATTGTGGATGTTATAGATATTGCCACTCTATGACCAAGTGACACAGTGACATAAATAGCACTTGCTCTTGAGCCCATGCTGCCTCAACCAAGGGCTTCAGATCTGTAGACTCCTCTATAATCACGTTTTAAACCATCCACCTTTCCTTCTCTGAAATCACCAAGGCATTCTACATAGACTGACAATATTGGTGGGAAGTAGTCTTCTGACTTAATGGTAGCAGCTCACATGAGACCTGTCGCATCACAGTGCCCTGGAATAATCCAGAGCAAAGAGTCTTTGCAGTCCACGGGTCTCAGCTTCAGGCACAGGGACCGAGAAGATGTTGGCACAACTCTACTTCCTTTTCTCAGTGCCTTCTTAATATTCTCCCTCTTTCCCCTCTCTATCATCTCACTCTTTTCCCTCTGTCTCTGTCTCAGTCTCTGTCTCTGTCTTTCTGTATCTCTCATACTAAGGGTTGAACCCAGCACATTCACATATTTTCAATTAGAAATAAGGTCATTAAGTAGGCCACGTTGGGCTGGAACCTGGAGTCTTCCTGCTTCAGCTTACCAGAGTGCTGGGATTATAGGTGTGTGCCCCTATACCCAGCCTCTATTCTTTTTTTTTCTCATCTACCTCCAGTACATTTTTTGAGCTTTCATAGGATCATCTCCTCAGGGAAAGGACTAGTTTTTTGGAGTTTCCCGGTCTATTCTATTTAATATTATAGAAATTATAAGCCATAGTGATAACAAAAACTGTTTTTACACAATGACAGGCATTGCAAACCACTAGCCCCTGAACTGACAACTGAAATCATTAAGGAGATATACTTTGTTCTACTTTCATCTAATTGAAAAGTCTGACAGTTGTTACTTTTCATATTACGTACACACAGATATCCATTCATATGACGTATTTTCTTCACATTTTGGGATCTCCAGTACATGATAAACTTGTCTATGGAATTATAACCTCATGAAAAGAGATTATTGGGCTGGGGATATAGATCAGTGGCACAAGCGCCTGCCAGGCAAGCGTGAGGTCCCGAGTTCGATTCCCACTACCAAATACAAAAAAAGAGATTATCATTTTCTGCTGAGATGTACTTAACTGCAGTGGGTGTGAATGGTGCTGCTATAATAATTAAATTCAAAATCTTTCATAATCCTGTGCTCTCCCTAGAGTAATTTTCAGCATTAGACAAGGATGAAATTGCAAACAAGTGCATGTATATTCAATAATAAAGCTTAATAGGTCAGGGAAGGAGTGGAATGAAATGAATGCTTAATACCTCCCGAGATAAGTAGGTAGTTTTTGCCTTCCTAGTTACTTCCTTGACTTATATTTACTAGGACTTGAATATATACATCAAATTGTCCTTTACTAACAACCAAATTCATACTGAGTTTATTGCATGGAAGAGTGTTAATGTCCATCACTATGTAGATTGCCTGCTTATTTCCAGAATTGCACATTGGAGGGCATTTGATTTCCATGTTGAAATCACACAGCGCTGATTGGGGAGTGAAATAATTGTTGAGTTTAGGTGTTGCTGCTCTGCCTCTATTCTTCCTAAAGAACAGTAACCTAAAGACCATGATCCCATTCCCAGAGCCAGCCATGAGATGGTAACAGACATTTCCTGAGTCACCATGATTTATCTTCCAGTTGGTCAGCAAATTCACATGAGAGGATCCAAGATGCATAGGGACTTGCCCTTGTGATAATTGGTTAATGGTATTAATGATGTCCATTGATTTCCACCAAGATGACATCTTCCCAAACTTATGATAGCCTGCATTCTTTTTTGTGTTTTCATAAAGTACTTCACATACATTAGCTCTTGTTACCATCATCCTGTGAGACAGCCGGAGTATTATTCCACTGAACAGATGAGGGACACAGCTGAGGCTCAGAGCTGGTATGTGACTTGGCCAAGATATCAGAGCTTCTGATTAGCCTGTGATCAATCCACGTTTGTCTGGTGTGTAGGTTTTTTTTTTTTTTTAATTTGCTGTTAATTTTACTTGATACATTGTTCTTTGTAAGTTGTGACCACTAGGCAAACATTACATACTCTCAAGTTCTGGCTGGTGATGGTCCGGGTCCCATGTTTGCCTCCATGATTTCTATATCTTCTTAAGGTTTTTATTTTTAAAAATTATTTATTTTATTGTCTTTTACAGACAGGTGTCGCTATGCAGTTCAAACTGGCCTTGAGCTCACATTGTAGCACAGGCTGATCTTGAACTTGCAACAATCCTCCTGCCTCAGCCTCCCAAGTGCTGGGATTACAGGCATGCACCACCACACCCGGTTGGATGATTTCTGGCTGTGCTGTCATGAGCAAGTTCTGTAACTGCACTAAGCCTCAGACTCACAGGCTGGAAAGGAGGGTTAGAAAGAGATCGTCTTCATAGGGTCATTGTCAGGACTCAATTCTGGGTAGCTGATAAGTATTTTGCACTTTTTTTGATTCTATTAATTATAGGAGTCTTTCATCATTTATTTTTTTTTTCAAGACAGATATATATCTGGATTTTTGGTGGATTTTTTGTTGGATTGTTTGTTTGTTTGTTTATTTGTTTTCAGAGACAAGGTCTCCCTGTGTAGTTCAAGCTGGCCTTGAACTTACTATGTAGCCTAGGCTGGCCTTAAACTCGTGGTGCTCTTCCTACTTCAACCTCTCGAGTATTGGGATTACAGGCATGTGCCACCACTCCCGGATCAACACTTAGATACATATTAGCATGTAGACATTTCGTACATGTATTGAGATATACACAGACATCAGAGAGAGAGAGTGAGTCTTTTGTAATGATAAAGAGGGATGGTTTTTAAATATTTGAATTATATAGCTTATAAGAGTGATACAGTCTTCATTTCCTACAATTTGTTATAAAGAACTATTTGTCAAAATCATAAGCCTGTAACTTCAAAAGAAATACCAAGATACATTTTTCTCCTTGTCAACGATCTTAAAAACATCCATTAGTTTCCTGAAGGATAGTCATAAATCCCACAAATTTCCTTCATGTGAACCCAACACTACCAGCTGTCCTTCTCACCAATCATCCTTTCTCTCTCACTGCAGTTATCAGACTCCAGTGAACATACCCTAGGCCTAGGCGGCCGAGGATGAAGGAGAGAGTTGAGCTCCCTTTGGAGAATTATTGGACACCCACTCTAACCTGAACCTCTTTCTTACATAACCTCTAACATAACACCCTCCTGTATTTGTCAAAGTACAAGCTACATTTTCCTTTCTGCCTTTTTTTCCTGAAAAAAAAAAAAAACAAAAACATAGCAAGAAATCTAGAAATGGGAATTTGGGGACTGACTATGGCACTAAGTAGGTGTGTAGTTTACCTCTCTGAGCCTTTCTTTCCGTGTCTATAAAATGAGACTGGGGGAACTTTATTATTCTTGGAAAGGTACTGCGATGAAGACAGCAGTGACTATGGCATTCCTACTACCTTTTGGGGAATTGAGACTGGCTGGGGAGGGGGAACCAGCAGAAAACAGAGCTGTGATCTAACCAGGGCTAGTGGAAAAGACAACCGAGGAAAATGATATATTTTCTGAGATAGGAGTTCTATCTAGAAAGCATTGTGGAAAAAGTGGGATCTGACTGAGCTGCAGGGAGGAAATAGGATGCTGGAGTTAAGGAATGGAAATCCAGCCTCAGTGCTGAGCCTAGAAGCAAGCAAGAAGATGGCATGCTTGGAAATTGGGAATGGGTCCAGAGAGACTACGCCTGGCCTCCTCTTAATGCCTGGCGATAAGGTCTGAAGTTGTTATTGAGTAAATGAAAATATGAACACCAATTGATCTTTGAAGGCTGCACACCTGGAATTTTACGATAATAAGCAGCCTTTTCTGCTGGAGCTCAATCTCGGAGATAGTGAGGATAGATGGCATTAGAATTAATGCCACTGTCGAAACAAAAGGCTTTGTGTGCCCAATAAACAATTTTGAAAGTGCTAGTTCATCAGCCAAATCCAGATCACTCATTTTTCTCAGGTACCTCGCCTTAGGAGAGAAAGATTTCTTACCATATGGTGGGCTTACATCTCCTGGATCAAATTTTGCAGGAAAAGATGAGTCATATATCAAAAAGTTAATGACCAGCCATTTCTCGCTCAGCTCTTTCATGGCCACTGAGCTGCCCGGCAGCAGAGGAGGGTGAAAGGCAGTGGAAGTCCACTGGGCCTTTTGTGAACCCCAGCAGGCATCACCAGCAGTATCTAGAGCTGGGGGCTTTTAGCATGCCCCTATTCTTGCCTGGCAGACTGAGAGCCCCAGTCCCATGAGGATCCAATGCCATGTCCCACCTCCACCTTGCACTGATGGATCAGTGCATTTATTGCTCTTTTAGTAGTCAAAATATATAGACTCCAGTTATCTCTGGAGATGCTGAAATAGTCTTTTTTCCCCTTGATTTAGGGGAATGTAGAGAGGGAAGATGTATGCAGAGTATGACTTACATATAAGAGCTCAAATATGTAATTAGCTGAAGGAACCTTGGTTCCCTCTACACCTTTGACAGAATCGCAGCTGTCAGATCGTAGCTCCAGTATTTTATCCTCCTTACACGATGGATCTGAGGATGATTTAGGAAAGACATTTTCTAATGGGAATGCCACTCTGATTTCTCCACAGGATGCTTGAAGATGACCTAAAGCTGAGCAGTGATGAGGATGACCTTGAGCCTGTGAAGACCTTAACCACCCAGTGCACAGCCACGGAGCTGTACCAGGTAGGAGGAGCTCAGGGCTGCTTTGGGAACCGAGGAGAGGAAGGGAAAGAACTAGCATGGTTTTGCCAAACACAGGCCACCTCCGTGCTTTGTCTCTGGGCTTTGGAGAAAGGAAAAGGAGCAAAGACAGGCCAATGTTCTGCAACAGGTTCATTCGGCTCCTGCTTTCATTAAAGCAACAGGAAGGATGTGGAGGAGCTCCCTAAAACTGCTTTCCCTCCTTCTCTTTCTGCTTTCCATGCATAAATACAGGTCATCAATTAGTAAGAAAGATTGTCTTTCCCTCCCCTGAGCTGCTTTTTGTCTAGGGTGAGGACTAATGTTCATTTGGTGACTCCACGGGGCAGCTTGAAGCTCACACTCATTAATTACATATAAATGTGACAGCTCCATTCACCTTTCCCAGATACCCTGCTTCCGAATGCAGCTGAAAATCAATACCTTACACCTTGCAGCTTTTACGAACCCTCAGGCAAGTAGCATTTGGCAAAAACTTGCTGCTGCATTTGTCTTCTTCCATTCTGCATGCTCTCAGTATTTCCAGTACTTTCCAAGCAAAGGAGAAGGCAGGAGTGTGTGCTTTCAGCATTTCCAAAGAGAATGGGCTTCTTGATTTGAAAAGGCCACAGTAGCATTTATAACTCATGAGAACAACAGCATCGTGTGGTGTGAATGTTGCCTGTGTATTGTTTCTGTGAGGGAGGTCTTTTTCTAATATGGGGAGCTTCTGCGTGTGCTAATGCCCTCAAATATGGAATAGAGAAGAATTACTTACCATTTTGATTATGTTTTTTAAAAAGTGCACCCTGTTTTTTGGGTCCTTTGTCGAGAACGTGCACAGGATAAGTGTGGGTGACACTGTGCTGGCCTAAGCCAATTTCATGATTATTTGCTAGGAGCTTTCTGTACATTTACAGAATGCAAACAATCTCCTTCCCTCAAGCTGTGGACCTCATAGCAAGTGTAAAATGCACACTTAATTTCCGATCATTTCTGCTTTCTGCATTTTACACATCAATGACAAGATGGTAAGATTGGTAAATAAGACAAAAACCGAACAAAACAACCTAGATCATTTATTTTGACAGATATGGCATTACTTTTTAATGGAAATGTTTAAAGCTGACTTCAACAATAAGTGAAAGTATATTTTGCACATTGACTTCCTCCTCTCTGTTATTATATAAATGCACTCTGCTTTTTAGCTCATAATGTTATTTTCTGCATTTACCTTTATCATCAGGCCCACTGACCTGAGTCAACCAGGTTTTCAGGGTACTTGTGCTGATGTTCTGTAAGAGCTGAGACCCTCAGATGAACAGGATTGATGAGTTGGAACTGTTCTGTGATTCACTGCCCTCATACCAGTTGTATCTTCCTAAGCATGGCTTAAATTCTCACAATTTGGTGGGGAAGTTGAACTGGTAAATTCAAGGCAAGCAAAATGGCAGCCTATTCCCCATAAGTGAGTCCAGCAAGCAAGCAGTGGGCATAAAGTTACAGTGTCTGCAAATGAGCCATTTGTAGAGTTTGAGGACTAGTTAAAAGGCTGTAAGCTTATGCCATAATGGCAGCAATGACGGCAACAACATTTTGGTGAGTTCTGGCTTTATGAGGCCTAGAATTCACTTCTAAAGTTATGTTAATCAACATAATTTTGTCTTTTATTGTAATAAAGTTCACCTAACACAAAATTCACCATTTTAAGTTGCACAGTGTAGTGGCATTTAGTACGGTCACAAAGTTGGGCATTGATTCCCAATTCCGCAATATTTTCATAATCTCAAAGGGAAATCCCGTACTCATGAAGCACTTTCTTCTCATTCCCTCTTTAGGTCCTGACAACCACCAACCTACTTTTTGTCCTAATGGCTGTATCTCTTTCACATAAATGGAATCCAACCATATGTAACCTTTTATGTCTGACTTCTTCCACTTACCATAATGTTTTCTAGGTTTTTCTACACTGTACCATATAATAGCATTTATTTCTGTTTTATGGCTGAGTAATATTCCATTGTATGGATAAACCACATTTTGTTCATCCACTCATCAGTCGATGGAAGTTTCGATTGTTTATGCCATTTGGCCATTGCTAATAATGCTACTATGAACATTTGAGTGCGAGTTTTTTCCTAGATGTATTTTTGGCTCTTTAGGATATGTACCTAGGAGAGAAATTGTTGTGTCCTGTTGTAATTCTGTGTTTGCCTTATTGAGCAACTGCCAAAATCATTTCCATTAAGATAACATAATGTCATCAGGATAATATAATGCCATTCCCTTGTCTTCTAATTGTGGCAGTCATATATCTAGCAACATCAGGTTGAGCTGTACTGAGACTCTCATTTTTGGAAGGACCCTTGAGCTGTACCTGGAACAAGTTTGATGTTTTGTCTCATTTAGACCTGAAAATAAACCTTAGAGGTAGTTTTGGTCCTCTTGTCTCAGCAACAGAATTGCACAGCCATTTCTATTTGTGGCAGAATGATTTTGGGTGAGGATACACAAACAAATGTGTAGTACATTAAGTGATGTGCCCAAGAAGCCAGACCATACCATTGGTCTAAGCCAACGTTACAGTTAGAAGCATTCTCAGACCCCAGTGCCTGAATTCATACTGGTATGACATAGGTGATAAAAAGCCATTCCCTTTTGATAACATCCCTAAATCATCTGCTTCATAATTGTCTCACCTGACACATGTGGGGAAACTCAAATTACCCAGGTTTAGGGAGTATGCACCAATCTTTAAAAAAAATTCCTAAGCCATTTTGCTGTGGTTACAGCCCAAATAGTCCCAAAAAGATGTATTTCAAATGGATTCTCTATGAAGAGAATGCATGTCAGGTTCTAATTTAGCATTTCAGTACTCAGTTTCTTACCGTCAGAACAACTTTGCCTTTTCCCACCCAGCCCTGGCCTTTTCCACAGCAGCAGTAGCCATTCTGAGCAGGTAGACTGGACCTGTGCACAAAAACCAACAAAGCTATTAGGATGTATTCAAAAGCGAAGTATTGCCTCCTCAAACAGGAATATGAAACATAAGGTCAGAATGGGAGAAATATAAAAATTGAAGATGCTACATGCCTAACCATGGAGACTCAAGATTGCAATATAACTTTTACCAAAAGATTTCACCTTCTAGCGGAGGATATAGTTCAATGGCCCAAGCGCCTGCCTGGCAAGCGCAAGGTCACAAGTTTGATTCCTGGTACCAAAAAAAAAAAGATTTCACCTTCTAATGATTCTTTAAAGTCCAAGATACATAATCATGCACACACATAGTTTCAATGGGGAAGTGACAAAGATTATACCCTGAAGATTCTTGTTCAAAGCTTGTGTGTTCTCTCCATCCACATCACCTGTTGCCTTTCCTTTCCATGGCTGGGTCTGTTTGGGAAGCAGACATATTCACAGTGTGTTCCAAGGTGGAACAGTATGGGAGAGTGAGTGAGAAGAGTATAGCTGTGTGGTCAGAGAGACATGAGTTTGAATCACAGCTCTGGCATTTTCAAATTTGGTGATCTTGAGCAAATATAAGTGGCTATAAAATGGAGGTAAAAGTAGCCCCTGTTTCATTGGGTTTTAGTGGGGATTCAATAAATAGGTAAATCAACACAGAAAAAAGCAGTTGACACTAAACTTAGCACATAGCAAGTGCTTACTACTTGACATGATAGCTACCAGCCTTGCTACTACTTCTGAACCTGATCTAAAAGTCTTGTGTTCTTTGAGGTGCTGGATATATTTCCTTCCCTTTCTTGTAAGGAATAGGATGGCAAGGAGCAGTGCTGAATTATGTACCTGGAAAGCAGCCTATCTATGGAAAACTTGAATGTGGAGGTTCTGTCCTGTCCTAGCATTAGTTGGGTATGGCTGGCCATGAGGAACTGTAAGTGTTGTCATTAAGAGCATGGCTTTTGAAATAGAGAAGAAGCCTGGGCTTACGTCCCAACTTCCCATGCTAGCTGCATCACACTGGGCAAATTGCCTAACATCTCTTTCTCAGATCTCTCACCAGTAAACCAGGATAAAAGAGCCTTATCTAACTCACAGGGGTATTGTGAGGAGCAAATGAAGATCATGTACAAGAAAGTGCTTTGAAAACCATAAGCACTACACAAAGAGGGGTTATTTGTCCTTGCAGCCCTTGTAAATGTGACCTGGGGTCTTCCTCTTTTGGATCCATGAGGAAATAGACATTCCCCTTCATTTTGGCATAGGTGTTCATAGGGCCCTACTAGGAACTGGGCTGAATGCCCTAACTGGCTCCCAAAGGTATCCATCATATATGAACAAATTAAACTCCCCCTGAGTCCTGAAAACTTTTAAAACAGAGCACCAAGTTCCCCAGAAAATTACACATCTCAAAAAGTTTTTACTCAAAAGGTTGATGGGTAGATGAGTCACATACTTTGCAGTTCTTAGCTTTTCTTTTTGAGCCCTTGCTGTGCTCCAGAGAAACTCTTTATGCTGTACTCACCTCGTTTCTCTCTCTGGAGCTAGCCTGGGATGAGACGGAAATAATCACTCAAAGCTGGTGTTGCGTATTACAAAGTTGCAGAAAAGTATTGGAGTCTAACACAGTGCTTTGTACTTGTGTCTGAACAAACATGTATGTTGCAACATGCTCTTTTTGGTTTTTAAAAGAAGTTGAATGTCAATGATGTGACTGGGACTTCAGGGATTTCCTGTTGTCCATTGTCCAGATGACTATGTTTTACTTCTCATCTGTTGCTATTGGCATCATAGACATAAATCCAACCCTGGGGTTCCCTATGCAACACTGAATTGCCACTTTCCAGCCACTCAAGCAGGACTAGTGGTAGTGCTGAGCGGAGCCTCGTGGCACTTGGTGAGGGAGTGGCCTGATCCCGTGGGACAGCTTCCCGGGGAGCAGGAAGGTGTTGGGTTCTCCACATGCCCTCACCTCACACCACTGAACCTTCGGTTTTTTGGTCTGGCAAATTCTTCTTCTTACATTTCTCAGAATTAAA